GGGAGGTAGGGCCGTTTCTTGAATATGCTTCTGCCCCCGGATCCGGGCCTTCGCCCCGCGTCCCTGGGGAGTGGGGGGGGGCAGGCTACCCGGGCGCTCGCAAGCCCGAGTAGTTGTTCCTCAACCACCGCTCTCCCTATCCACTCCCCCGCGCCGTCCAACCGGGAAGGGGAAACACACGGTGCCAGCCAGTTGGCTGAAACACCGCTGGCCACTAAAGGCCCGCTTCAACCGTTCCCGGCGGACGAGGCGTCGTCTTGTGATGTTTGGCGACCAGGTGTGCCACCCACCACCACCTGGTTGCCCCAGCGTATGGAGGGCTGGTTGGGGTCCAGGTTCCCTGCCTTGGACCCCACCCTCCTCCCTGGCGTCTACTTGTGAGGGGAATATTTATCCCCCCTCGCAGGCGCCAGGGCCTCTCACCCGAGGAGTTATGAGGGTCCTATAGGGGTACCCTCCTCCTCGGGTGGGCGGAAGAGGGAGGACCTTATGGGGGTGGTACTGGGCTGGTGGAGCGGGCGGCTGTTCGGCCCTTTTTCCCCTCATGCCCGATTTCTCAGACACGGAGGTTCACTGAGGAAGGGGTAAGTCTCCCTCCTCCATTTCCCCACCGACCCAATTATTTATTGTCTGATCCTGGCCTCCAGGTTCAGACAGCTCTCCTTCCCGTGTCATCCCCCCTCTCTCGCCCGGCGCGAGGACGGGGGGAGAATCATGGGGGGAACACCACCCCTACGTGTTCCCTCGTTGGGGGGGGCGATCGCAACGACGCACAAGGCGCCTATTATCGCCCTCACTATTTTGGATCGCCAGTTTACAGAATGGCCCGGCCATCCTGTGACTGGCGTTCCATCCTTTCTCCTCACACATCACGCACCTGACCGGTGCTTGGCACCCCTGCGCGATGTGCCCATCCCGACCACACCTGTAACATAACCCTCTGCGGTCAACCGCAGAGGTACACTTATCCCAGGTGTGGCCGGTCTCCCAACATTTGTGGCACTGAAGCGGCCTGGCCGCCAGCAGTATAATGCCAGCGACAGACCACCCCAGTACCACCTTCCCCTTCCTGGCCGCTGTGATAGCAGCAGTCAGGGGAAGACGAGCCCATACCGCGCCATTTCCTCCTGGTTCCCACTTAAGGGGGCCAAGTTGTATCGCGCCTTCCTCGCAGTCTGCGCAGTTTGCCAAGGCAATCCTCATTTCTTCGGGGGAGGCTGACTCATCAAAGTCCACGAGTCTAACCTCCCCCTTCTGCGCTGGGCGAGTAATCCTCGCCTCTGGGATTATCTCCCTCATCTTCTCCGTTAGTCGGTCCGCCTTTGCGCCTCCAGGTCCAGGATCCCTGACTCGGACCCGTAACGCTCCATCCGCGCTCCTTCCCACGTTCACTCCAGGGATCCCCAGGTCCTTCAAATTTATCCCTCTCGCCTTCCTAAGGGCATCCGCATAGGATCCCCCTTGCCCTAATCTAACCGCCACTGCTGCCGTAGTCGGCAACCGTGGCCATCTCCCTCTTTCCGTCGACATGGGAGGCGTCGAACGAATCTCCTCCACCTCCCTATTTCTTCTCAGTTGCACTTCCTCTTCAGGTCTCACCCTCTGATTTACCCTCTTTCTTGTTAAGTTCCTTCCATCTTCCTTGTCTCCTCTTTCTTTTCTTTTCCTGCTTCCTATCACTGCCGTCTATTCCATATTTTGAACTTCTTCTTCCCTTTCCTTTCCTGCATCCTTTCCTCTCCTGGTAATGTTTTCCTCTTCCGTCTGTACTGATTCTTCCTTTCTCGATACCTCCACCTGTACCGCTTTCTCCTCCCCACATACTTCCACTTGTGTGGAGGTTGTGTTCTTTTCTACTTCCATTCTGTTATCGTTTTCCTTCTCTTCATTATTCATTATTTCTTGCAACTCTTGTAATTCTTTTATCTTTCCTTCCAAATGTTTTATCCTTTGTTTTTGTTCAATATTTTCCTTTTTCCCCTCTGTTATTACATCTCTCCATATTTCCAATGTCTCCTTTTTTTTCCCTATTTCTTGCACTTCCAGCACTTCCACTTTCTCCTCTTCATTTTCCCTGGTTCTCCTCTCCACCTCAAGGTTTTCTTCCATTTCTTTCATTTCCGTCTCCATTTCTTCTTTCATTTCCATCATTTTCTTCTCCATTTCTTCTATTTCCCCTCCCAACCTTTCCAGTTCTTTAATCTTCTCTTCATTTCCTTCTAGGACCTTCTGTCTCTCCTTAATCTTTTCTTCTGTTACCCTTTCTTTCTCTCTTGCCTGCTTCAATTCTTCCAGCGCTTCCTTGGACCTGGCTATGTTCCACGCGCACCTCCTATGCACCTCTCTGCCGCAATTCACCAGTCTCCTTACGTCCTTCGCGCTGGTGAGAAGGTCTAGAAGGAGAAATTTCTTCCCTTTCGGTATGCCTCGATTCCGCTCCAGCTCCTCTGCCTGTGCATCTATATATTCCTCCCAGGAATCCCATACTTCCTCCGAATAAGGGAGGTCCGCATGAAAGTTGAGACCTTTCACCTCTTTCCTCTTTGGAGTGATCCTCAATTCTTCCACCTCTTTACGAACTCGTTCTAAGAACAAGTACTTCTTGTTCCCTCCCTCAGAGGAGCTACATTTTCCCGACCCTACCTCTCTCTTTCTTTTCAGGAACTCAGCCATTTTGGATACATCCCATGCTCCCCCAGCGGCTCGACCGAGCGGGCATGCCCGCACCAGCAAGGATAAATCCCTACTGGTGTCCCCGAGTTCCCCCGGGGAGCCGGTCTATACTTCGGGCTCAGGGAAAAGACCATCCTGAGCACTGGGTTCCCGCCCCCTACTCCCGCCCTGACCCCCATTGCTGGGAGCCAGGCCGGTTTCGGGGGTCCCCGGCCTCCGACCACCGTGGCACCGCTGGGGGCGCAGCCACGCGGGAGGCCCCGTGGGAGGAGGTAAGTCACCTGTGTCGCAACCCACAGGGACCCCTCCCCTACGGCGGCCAGCGTGATGTCGCCGCCCAGGGAATGGGTTTTGGGTGTTGCGATCCCTATTCCCTGGGCTCACCCCGGGGGCCCCGGCCCCGACCTCGGAATCTGTCCGAGCGGCCCGGAGCCCCCCCCACCCCGGGTACCGTGGGGGTTTCAAACCCCACGGTGTGCAGACCCGGGTGTGGCCCGTCCCTTCGGGCTACCGGAGCACCGGTGCACAATGCCCTTAGGGACGGTCTCCCCAGGGTGGGGTCCTGTTCCTCTGACTGCCGGAACACCGGTGTGCAATGTCATAGGAGTGGGGTCCCCACCCTTAATACTCCATCCAAAAATCGGTCCAGCGGAGAGGAAGCCGCCCCCTTCAGCTGCTGGAACACTAGCGTGCAATGCTTCCAGGGACAACCGACTCCTCCCACTGGACTCATACGGCCTTCCCAGATTGCTCTGGGTCGGCTACTTTCCTGGGTTGGACGCTCTTAGTCTGGCCCCTCAGTACAGACCACTCCGGCATGGTAGAACCTGCCAGGGGTCGAAACCCCCGCCAGCACAGCTCTGTACATCATCGGGGCACGCAAGCTCCCCCACCACGACAAGGTGGCGTCCATGGGGGAGAGGTGTGTGGGGGTCCTGAATGGGACCCCCTCGAAACCCCCCCTCGGTGAGAAACCGAGGGGGAAACTGCCGCACCCACCCCCCGGGGGTGGGTCTTCCCCCCAGGACTCCCTCCTCCTCCGTACCAGAACGGATTCGGGGGTCACACCCTGGGGGGAGGCTATCCCTCCTGGCGCGGTCAGGGGTGTTCCCGCAAGGGGTCGGCCTACCCCCGACCACTCCTACCTGGCCCATGGGTTCCGGTGCGGGGGCCTCTAGCATTGCGAGGCCACTACCGCACCGGCAGATCCCATGGGAATGGGTGGGGAGAGCTACCTTTGCTCATTACCTCCCCACTCCTCCCACCCCGCCTCCGCCAGGAGGGATACTGAGACCTCGACCTCCATTGTTTCTGCCTCAGTGACGCCCTTCGGCTTAACCGCCGAGGGAGGGTCCGGCGCCGTTGGAGCGGCCGTCGTTCCTCCCGCCGCTGGTCTTACCTGGTCAATCGACGGCGGAGGCTGAACACTATCAGCCTCCGTCGCCCCCACCCCTACCTCTTCGGCCTTACTTGGGCTTGGCAACGGTTTCCCGTCCCTATCCTTTGCGGCGACGCCGCCAGGAGGCTGCGGCCGAGCATCAGCCGCAGCCCCCCCACGTGCCGCCTTCTTTCTTTTTCTCTTCCTTCGGGGAGGGGCTCCTCCCCTTGGGGCAGCCCTGGGGACCGTCTTGCACGCTATCCCCCCCATTCAGTGGTCAGCCCTTTTTCTCTCATGGTGGCAAAGGGGGCACCGTACTGCCTCGGTGCACCCCTTTGCCACGTGACCGGCCCCTCCGCATCTAAAGCAGCGACCCGCCAGACCGAAATCGGTCTGGCAGATCGCTGCCATATGGCCGTAGCGTAGACAACGGTAGCACTGGAGGGGCCGGTCCTCCAGCACTCTTACACTCGCCCGCGTCCACCCCATGACGATTCCCCCCGCTGTCAGCATTTTTTGGGCCGGTGCCAACGGGCACCGAACCCATGCCGCCTCTAGCCCTCCAGACGATCTCCTAATCTCCTCGATCTGGAGACCGTCTGGAGGGCATCCCGAACTCTTAAGTATCGCGGCCCTCGATAAAATTGGGGTGACTGAGTCCTCCAAGCCGACGATGCGAAGCTCTTTTTCGTCGGCCTGGAGACCACAGCCTCCCCGTCCAGTGCGTCTTGCAGCTCCCTGGCCAGGCGGTCGGCTTTGTCCCGACCGTCCTGACCAGGGATCTCCAATAACACCCCTCATTCCTGGCGCGTTTTACTTTAAACGCAACAGGCTCCAGGCCGATCTCCTGGAGATCGACCCGGAGCCTGGCCTTTGCCATCACTTCATTGATGGAGGAACCCCCCGGCAACGCCGTAATAGTAACTACGGGGTTGCTCGGGGGGTTTCTCAACTGCGGTCTTTTTAGTGGGGGAGGGGTCCCTTCCTTGGGACCCCCTTCCCCGCTACCTTTCCTCCTTTGGTAGGAGGAGGTGCCACCTTCTTTGTGGCACCCCCTCCAACCGACTTGGAGGGTTCAACCCTCCCCTTCCCCCCCTTCCCTTTCTTTTTCTCCTTGCGAGTGGACATCACTGTCCACTCGCCCTCCCCTCCCACCCCAGTGACAGCCGGCTGTCCCCTGGGTGGGTGGAGGGGGGCGGCCCCGCTGCCCGCAACAGCTGCTGCTGGAGTGGTTAACCTCTCCAGCAGCCGTCCTATGCGGGCGATTTCTGACTTGAGGCCCCGGACCTGAATTTCCAGAGCCCCAAGTCGTCCATCAGGGCCGCCCTCCTCCGCCAACCTTTTATAATCAGAGAGAGCATCCTGTATATTCAGGATGCTCTCTCTGAATTCCTCGTTTAGGGCCTCCACGTGCCTCCCGTAGCCCTTGGCTGCCCTTATAGAGGGATCTACCCGAAGAGACCTCACATAGTCTATGCCATCTAAGGCCTCCTCGAGTAGATCCCTCCCCCTTTCCGCCTTCCGTGCGGGTCTCCTTACGGGCGGGAGACCCCACTGGTGGCGTGCGGTACCCTGCCCCTAGAGCTCCTCCCTCCCGCGCGTTTAAGAGAGGAGCTCCCCCAGCCGAGGGCTCTTCATCCTCGACTTGGGGAAACTCCTCCCCCGGGAAGAGTTCCACTCATTTTTGCGTGGCAGAATACTTGACCCCACCCGCACGGGGAGCCTCCCCCCCCTTCGGTGGGAACTAACGCCCCCGAGGGGAGGGAAATGCGCTTTCTCCTCCTGCCACGGTGGCGAGGCAGATTCCTCTGCTTCGCGCCTCCTCTTCTTCGCGCTTTTTGGACCGGCAAAGGCCGAGGGAGGGTCCATCCGACTCACACTCGGCCTCAACCGGTCCATGAGCGCCTCTCTTTTGGCGGTAACCAGTTCGGACAGCGCTCCCGCCTTGCACTCGCTACCTGGCCCGTCGCATGATGTCGACGGGGGGGGGGGGCCGGGACCGTACGCCCTCTCCCGCCGTGCCCCGGTTCCGAACACCGGGGCGCTTTTCTCCTTTGACGTCATTCTACCATAAATGCAGGGGTTTTACGTGCCTCTGCAACACGGGTGTGATTTCGGGGTTTTCCTTCCCCTAGACCGGTTGCCTGCCAAGGCTAACGAGCCTGCGCTGTAAGGTCCTTTGGGCCCCACGAATGAGACCCTCCAGATCCTGAATAAAACCTGGAGGCAGCTGCCCATCCAGGAGTATTATGGACGCTCTTAGTCTGGCCCCTCTGTACAGACCTCTCCGGCATGGTAGAACCTGCCAGGGGCCGAAGCCCCCGCCGGCACAGCTCTGTACATCATCAGGGCACGCAAGCCCCCCCACCACGACAAAGTGGCGCCCACAGGGGGGGTCCTGGACATAGTTCGACCTAACGAAACCTAACATAAGCTAAAGGGTTAGTTTAGATTAATTAAATTACCATATCTTCCTTCTTATTAATCTTTCTTATTAATTTTTCTAATTTTACAAACATGTGTAATATATATCAATATTTTTGTGAAAAATGTCAAGATGTAGAATCGAACGGACTTCAGTGGAAGACGATTTCAACAACGACGTCGTGGAAAGAAAAGAAAACAGAAATGAGAATCAACGACGTCGTCGACAAATTGAAAAAGAAACTAAAGTAATAAAAATGATTAATTCTATAAATCGTGTAATAGAATTTAATAATGTAGTTGAGGAAGAATGTATTGCGGACATTTTAAATCATGGTACAGAATTGATAAGTCAAAATGTTGGAAATTCTTCAAATATTTCATTGATAAATCAGCGACATATCGAATATCAAGTTAGTTACCGATCGCGGCAAAAGAAACAACCTCTTTTAAATATTAATAGTAGAACTGCATTAAAGGACGTAGTTGAATATTATATAGGTTCCATGGATGTATTTTGTATTCGTTGCTAAACATTTCGCAGCTGAAAAGATTTCTAATAAAGGAAATTCTTTTCATGATTGCTGTAATCATGGTGCAGTTTATCTCCAACCATTACCAGAATTACCAGATTTTTTGTGCTCTTTATTCAGTGGAAGTCATGCAAAATCAAACCAGTTCTTTAACCATATTCGTAGTTATAACAGTTCATTTTCTTTTGCATCATTTAACGCAAATCTGGTTAATTTTCAAAAAAGACGGCCTGATTCGTATTGCTTTAAAATACATGGCCAAATTTATTATCAAATTAATACAGCGTTATATGCTGGGCAAAATGAGAATCCAACTTACGGACAACTTTTATCGTTGATTCAAATGAAACAGTATATTATCGTTTTAAGGGTCTGCAGGAGCCAGAGACAAATCCAACGTTAACTTTGGAGGCCTCGTGCGGCGAGATCGCGAACCAACACCGTGCGCGCGAGCGCAAGAGCAAGAAGGTTGGGTTAAGTCAGTTTGACAAGGACGAACAATCGATCGCACTGTCCTTGTCTTACTCACTCGGGCATTTCGCCGGCCGATATACGGCGAGAAAATGCTTTTCAGGCTTTTGGGTGAGTGAGCCAAGCGTCGCAGCGACTCACGTGCAATACCATTTTACAAATTGACGTATTTTGTCTAGCTGACGTTATATATCACCACCAAATTATTATGGCATGTTCCTTATATTATTCCCGAGATCACCACAAAGCTAGATTTCGCAATCCGGCCGTCCAAAATGAAAAATAAATGAAGCGTCCGCCGTACCAAGCATCGCAGCGAATCACTCCAAAAATTATTTTACAAGATGCAAAATTTCGCCTCGTTGACGATATATACGATACGTATAATTGCTAAACTGTTACAGCATCTTCCTTGAATTATCCCTGAGGACCTTACACAGCTAGATTTTACAATCCGGCCGTGCAAAATTTATAATATATAAATAAAATATCAGCCGTACCTGGAATTGCAGCGAGTCAGGTGGAATACCATATTACAAGAAAAAATATTTTTCCGCGTTGCTGTCATATATCAGCACCAAATTGTTATAACATATTCCTCGATCTATCCCCGAGGTCTCTACAAAGCCAGATTTCGCAATCAGGCCGCCTAACATTTATCGTATATAAAAGACTGTACCGAGCATTGCATCATGTCACGTACAATACAATTTTGGAACATAAAAAATATTGCATCGTTAATGTAATATATCACCATCAAATTTCGGCCATATTCCTTGTATTATTTCTAACGTCACTATAAAGCAGGGTTTTGATTATTAACACATATATTGGTATTATAAGCGACTGTACGGGACAACAACAGGTAACTGTTAACTGTTAATTCCTACAAGTAACTGTAGGAACCATTAAAGTTGTTGTAATATTAGAAGTTTATTAATGAATTTATTTTTATTTCTTATATTTCAGGATCGATTTTGTAAATATATATATAGGATGCTAAATTTCAAACGCAACAGGTAAGAAATCTCAAAAATTATGAAAGATATTAAAAAAAGCTAAAACACGTTCCATCATTTCGAAGGGGAAATAAAATGGCATTATCAGTTTTTTATTTGGAAGGCGTTTTCAGAGTTGGTTGACTTAACTTAAGGTCAACTTAACTTTTTTAAGTCGGAAGCCCAATTTTTTATTATATCTTCTTTTTCTACCAATTAATTTGAACAACTTTCATCTGAAACATTTTATTTTTTAGAAATGTTTAAGGAAAACCTGGTAACTTTTTCAACATTTAACTTACGATATCTCGCTAACTATTCGTCGACAGAAAAAATAGTATTAGACTTTTTCACTTTATTTACTATCAAGAATATAC